CAGTGGGTTTTCAGTCCGAGTTCAAGTTCGCGCTGTTCAATTCCGGTTCCTATTCGAGTATTACACTTTTCCACTGTGAATGAAGACAAACAAATCCATTTTCAATTTATTCACTTTTGGACACAGATGTGGTTCATGTTACAAACAAGGGGTATTGTTCAAACTGTGTGCTATCCTATATTCATTCATGAATAACGTGCAGTTTTTTCACCTATGATGTTGGATATCAAATCTTGTTGATTGAGTAGATAAAACTGACTAATTCAAGTGGACTATCTCAATTAATAATTTAATTTCTGTAAGGAAAATAATAAATATCTCATCCTGATGATCTGAGAATCCATGTGATAAATAATCGTAAAATAATAGAAACCTCACTATGTCAGTGGTGGACGGTGAACGGTTCTCTGCCCTACATATTGGTGTGTGCCTATAAAAAATGCAATGGATTCAACTGGAATCAAATCCAGAATTTATGAACCAGTTTATGCATAAACTGGGCATTGAAGATGGCGGGAAATTTTTCTGTTTTCGGTCGTGATGCTGAGTTTCTAGCTTTTTTTACCAAAATCGGTGTTGCCCGTGATGGTTAGTTACCCAATATCAAAGAAAACCGAAGAGAACCCTCCAGAAGAAGCAGTCAAAGACAGTAGTCTTATATTTATCAAGCAAACGATCGGAAATGCCTGCGGCACGGTTGCTCTGTTTCATGCAGTTGCAAATAATCAAGACCATCTTGAGTTTCGAGATCCATCGGTCTTGTATCAATTAATTGAAACATCACGAGGCTTGGAGTCTTCAGAACGTGGTGAAGTCATGGAACGAGAAGTTTCTACCACAATGAGACAAACAAAGCTCCTGAAGCTTCATTGAAGACCAATCCAACTTTCATGTTTTGGAGGACGTTATGAGTTGGATGGTCGCAATAACTGACCTGTCCTTCTTCCCTGAACACACTTTTGGAAGATAAAAGTGCAATTACACGAGAATTGATTCAAAGGGACCCAGACAACCTCAACTTTGCTTTCAGCAAGAAACATTGCTCAA